TCTAGGTTCCTGGCTTCAGATTGGCACAGCTCCAGCCGTTGCAACTGCTTGTGGAATGAATTGTCGAATGAAAGATTTTTCTGTCTCTCCTCCTCTCTGTATACTTGACTTGCAATAAAAATAAATACATCTTTAAAAAAAAAAGTACAATGTGTCCACGCTCTGTCCCTCTGTTTTCGTCACCAAATAGTCTGGCATGAGGACAAGGGATTCTGCAGACTTGCTATCTGCTAAGATGACTTTCAGGGTCCTGGAGGAAACTCCATCAGCAAACCCAGCCCAGCGAGGTTTGCTTGCATGCCAGCACTGCAGCCAGCCAGCCCCATGAACTTCCAGCAGTCATGGGTGCTGTGTGTGAGGTTTTCTTGTGGCTCAGTAACCAGTGTGGGTTGTCCAGATCTGACCCTGCACCCTGTGGTCAGTCCCACTGGGTTACTTCCAGTTGAGCCTCATCTTGTCATGCCTATCTGACTAGTGCCAAAGGAGCTTCTTGTTTCTGTAATCAAAACTAAGTTGCAAGGTACTTAATGATAGGGACTGTATATTTTGGTCTTGAGATGCATGACATGCAATCATCATTTGACAGACACATGTTGAAGACCTTTAAAAAGTTAAGTAGAACTACAAGAGGAATTAACATTAACCAGTTGAAAATAATGAGGGAGAAAAAAGGGTTAAAAGCTAAGTAGTTAAAGCAACTTTTCGATGGTCCATTGTCAAAGCCAAGGTTAATGATGACACTTTTGAAAGATGATGAGCAAACTATCATGGGCGGTGCAACATTGCCATGCACTAAGGACCACTGCTATGGGGACTTGCAGTGTCAGAGGGGTAAAAGGAGAATGGGGGACACAAGGTGGCAGTCAGTGGGTGAAGGATGGCTAGAGGAGACAGCAAATGGGGGAGGGTGGTGGGAGATTCTGGCTGGCCAGCACAGCTCTTACTGTGAGGAAGGCCAGAGGGACAATGTGTGGAGGCATTTTTGCAGAAATGACCATGCCGCGTTCCTGCTAGGACTCTGCAATGACTGAGAGGGAAGGTCAAGCCCATTGAGCAGAGGGCTTAGAAGAGCCTCATTAGACCTAGGTCAAGGAGAAAGTCTTGGTTGCCATCTGTTACAGATAACATGGTCAGATGCCCAGTCTCCTAGTGGGATGGGAAGGGCAGCCGCTTCTGCAGTGGTGGGAGCATGGATAGACTGCTGAAGCCTGAGGATGTGTGACAAGAAACTGCTGGTGATGGTCGTAACCTCAGAGTATACCTGACTAAGATTTGGGGAATACAAGTGAAGGTGTCCTAGTTAACCCCCTTCACACAGTAGTTCCTGGGGTGGGCACTGAGTAGTGGGAACATGCACCCTTGCTGAGGATTGCTGGAGTTGTCACTGGAGGAGGAGGAGCAGAAGTAGGTCTTCTTCACATTGTACCTGAAACTCACCTGGGGTGAGAGGGGGGGTGTGTGAGGATGTTAGGAAAAGCCTGGAGCAAAAGATGCAGGTGAAGGCACCAGCTGAAAGAGAACTAAGAGGAGCTCCAGATGTGTAAAGAAAGGCCTGGGTCAGGCAGCAATTGAGACGGGAACGCTTGTGGGGTGTAGAAGCCTGTATGCTGTGTTCTGTTCTGTCAGCCACCATGTTTGCCCAGGCAATAAACATGAAAGAAGAGAGGAGGGGGTGAGTGGGGGACAGGGAGATGGAAAACATCAGCTTGAGGAAAAGCAGACCCAGGCAGACCTATCATAGTCAGGGAAGGGAGAGCAGCCCAGCTCTCCCTGCCTGGAGCAGGTGAAGAAATGGCGGGGGCAGGGCACATGGGCTCCTGCTGGCAACCATCGTGGGTGAGCCCCTGGGGACCCTTGCGGGCATCTGTGACTCAGCCTTCTGAGAAGATACTCTCCCACTGTAACTCAGGGCCCAACCCACTCACCACGGGAAGGCCTGGAAGCTTCCTAAAGAGGAGTCACAGTGACCCTCTTCAAAGAGTTCCACCCTACAGAATGTTCTGACTGCCACTGTTTCTCTCTCTTTCCCTGCCCCCGCTCCCCCTCCACATAACACACTCCACTTATACAACAGCTCTGTAATCCATGGATGCCCCTTGCAGTTTACTTTCTTTATCTTTCTTCCTTCCTTTCTTTTCTTTTTTTTTCTCTTTCTTTCTCTTTCTTTCTTCCTTCCTTTCTTCCTTCTTCCCTCCCTGCCTCCTTTCCTTCCTTTTCTCTCTCTCTCTCCTTCCTTTTTTTTTAAAACAAAATATTTAAAAGGCAGAGCAACAGAGAGAGGGAGAGAAACAAAAAAGATCTTCCATCTGTTGGTTCAATGTTGAATGACCACAAGAGTCAGGTCTGGGCCAGGCCAAGACCAGGAGTCTGGAACGATCCAGCTCTCCTAGGTGGGTGGCAGGAACGCAAGCACTTGGACCACTGTCTGCTGCCTTCCTGGATGCTTTAACAGGGAGCTAGGTGAGAAGCAGAGCAGCTGGAACTCTCTCTTAGCATGCTGATAAGGCATGCCAATAGCACAGCTAATGGCTTAACCACCTGCTCCCCCACTGCATCCTGACTCCTTACTCAAAGAACAGAGAGCACAGAAAGGAGAGGGTTTAGAGTCTTTGCATCCCAGAGTGTTGGAAAGAGAGAGATGTTATTGAGTGATCTCATGGGGCTCTGGAGATAAGCAAGTAGAGGTTCCGAGAAATTATTTTTGGCTGATTCTCACTTCTCTGAATGCAGCAGCCTCTGACACTGTATCACCTGAGGTCCCACTGACAGTTCGGGATCATGTATTTCACCTAAAATGGCCCACTCAGGTCTACTTGAAAGTGGCAGTCCCTGCTCCCTGCCCCCAGGGCCCCTCTCCTAGTCATCCCCATTGCTGACATCCCAGGCCCTTCCGGCCTTTCCTGGGCCATTCACTGAGTTGGAAGCCTCACTGATTGCTGAGCTCAGTGATGCTTTTCACACCCCATTCCACTTTCACATGCCTACTCAGCCTCTGCGCACCCCAGCTCCAGACAACATATCCTCCCCACACTTGAGAGGGCACTGCAGAACAACTAGAGGAAAATTTTACTAAAGAGACATTTCCCGGTAGATATTATTCTGATTATCTTGTCTTGTGAAAAGGGAGACTATGTGTCATTAAAATGATTTAAAAACAAACTCCCCTCTAGGAAAGGGGCAGGTATTTAGCCCAGAAACGGTGTCAGCTGCTGGGCTGCCTACAGACCCCATCAGAGGACCACCATGTACATGGCAGGACTGTCACCTTCTGCCCTGGAATACATTATTTGGATAAAAAGGAAATAAAGATGAACTCTTATTTGTAAGAGAGGCTCCCTAAGTATCATTAAACCATCACATGCAAAAAACAATATTACACTTGAACCAGCAAGAAATAGTCCCTACTTTCAGTGAGCTTCTTAAAACATATTAGGAATTGTTCTGGGAGCCTCATTCATCTTGAGCTATAGGTGCAATCGGTTTGATATTAAATCATAAGTCATGTTCATCTAGATTTGAATGGCTACACTTACCATTTAATAAATGTTAATTGAAGGAACAAATTAAAAATAAGATTATTAACCACTGGAAAGATTGGTTGATGATTTTAAATGTTACTAAAATTTAAGAAAAATGTGTTAAACTTCAAAATAAAAATACACACTTTATATTTATGCAGATCTCTGAGCAAAGTTGGTGAAATCTCTTGCTTTCTGTGATGACATGAAAACATTTTTTTTGGTAATACTTTGGCATTCAAATTTTCAGTTCATCTTATTGGTTCTGTTCGTTTTTGCTTAAAAATAAAGATTCTCATGGCCATAAATGGAAGATGTCTCTCTCCCTGCCTCTCTGCCACTATGCCTTTAAACAAATAAAAGAATAAATAAAAACTAAAAAAAAACAGTTGGTGGGGGAGGGCCTTGGAAGGACCCAGAAGAGCAAGCAACCAATGGAAGAAGCCACTTTGATGAACCTGGGCAACTCAGTGGAACGTGTGTTGTTGTCAGGGGGCCAAAGACGCTCACTAACATGGCAGTCATTTTCAATGCACTCGCCAATTTTTTATGTTATTTTTATTTTAAATATGTAACAGATTGCTACAAAATAGTTTATGCCTAATGTCCCAAAAGAGTCCAAGTGTCCCAGGACTGATTAATGCTCATTCCTATTGGATGCTCCATTTGGAAGGCTGTTTTTTTGGTTTGTTTTTCCAAGTTGGATCTATTTCTCACCGCTCTGTTCTAAATGACCTAGGCTACGTCACTCTTCGGTGCTGAAGCCATAGCTTGCTTTATCCTAGAAAGGGGAGAATGCATCCTTCAACAACTTGCTGATGTGGTTTAAGAGGCAGTGGAAGGAGGGGATCAGGCTCCGGAGTGAAAACTTCACCCAGAAATCTAGAGTTCACAATGATGTACACGGGGATGGCAAGCCACGACCCAAGCAGTAACATCACACCCAGCATCTCAGAGTAGCTGAAACAGCTCAGCCTTGACCCCTCCAGAGAGTAGAGCCCCCTGCATTGTTCACTTTAGTGTTATAGACTAAGACACAAGAAATGTTTATGACAGGAGCCGGCACAGTGGTTCAACAAGCTAATCACCCACCTATAGTGCTGGCAACCCATATGGGTGCTGGTTCATGTCCTGGCTGTTTTACTTCTGATCCAGCTCCCTAAATATGGCCTGGAAAAGCAGCACAGGATGGCCCAAGTCCTTGGGCACCTGCATTCCTGAGGGAGACCTAGAGGAAGCTCCTGGCTCCCAGCTCCTGGTTTTGGATTGGCTTAGCTCTAGCCATTGCAGCCATTTGGAAAGTGAACCAACAGATAGAAAACCCTCCTCTCAGTTTCCCCTTCACTAAGCAAAAAATTTATAAAAATTTTAGATTAGCAAAAATCCACATCAACTCTGTACACTCTTCTGCCTAAATGAGCATGAGTAGCTTTTATAATCTGAGAGCCATGAACCAACAGCTCTGCGTTCTTGTTGCTGTAGGCCGCCACTGTGAGGTGCATCAGATGACGGGCAACTACATGTGGGACCCCAGCACCAACAAGTCCTTTGACATTGGAGTCAACAGGGATAGCCTGATGTCCCTCTGGTGGAATGGATCAGAGCCGCTGTGGGTCACTCTGACCAAAGCCAAAAGGAAGGTCTACATGTACTACTGGCCAGGTGAGTGTCTTGTTGCAAACACCTTGAGGTCAAGCAAAAACAGTTTCTGTCTGAGGACCAAGCCATGGCTTGGAAAATGAGATTTTTATTTAAAAAGTTTGTCTTGTGAGAATTTTCTTAAAAACTTTGTTTTGAATCCCAAACCAGGCACAATCCTATTTCTTGACTCTCTCAGTCCAGCATTACTGTTACAGGATGTCGTATTCGTTCTCAAATGCAAAATTTTGGACCTACAAGTCCAAAGAGATCAATGGTGGCATGCTTATTGCCTTTAGAAAACAATGTGATGTATTAGTTCTAGATTTTTTTTTCAGTTTCCCTGTAAGACTGAGACAAGAACTCAAAAGTGTGTACAACTTTTTGATAGTTCAGTCAACAAAGCCTCTTTCTCTTCTGAGAGTTCTAAATCAAGGAAATGGTAAATCACCTGACACTGCAGTCAAGTCCATGATCATGTAAATGTCCCTGGGGCATTACAAAATGTCCCAAGGATATGCTCAGCTTGGCACTGACAATCTCATATTACAGATGTGGTTTCGTGTTAACAAAATGATCGTTTTGCCATCATCTTCTTATTAGTAGGTCTGTTCTTAGAATACGTGGAAATCTGACTTTTCCATGTGTGTGACCCTAGACATTTCCCCCTAATTCTTACAGTGTGGTATTGAAGATTGCCATTAGGAAGGATTTATCAGGGGAGGCCAAGAAGTGATAATTGTGGAGCTACCTGGCACGAGATGGGGAGAAGCAGCTGAGGGTCCCGTTGGTTTGGCTGGAAAGGCAGCAGCAGCATGTGGAATTGTGACCAGCAATGGGGCATGGAGTGGGTGGTTGGAAGGGATGGGGGAGAAGGGAGAGACCAGTGACTAAGCCAGGGCTCAATCACAGATGTCCCCCACTGAGGCAGTGGGCCTGCTGTGGGAGCCTGGAACATGCCGGGTAGAGGTGACCATGTGGAGACTGCTGGGCACTGCAGACTGTGCCACCTCTTGGAGGAGCAGGGGACCCAGACAGATGGGAACGGGGGAGAACAAACCCCATGGGGGGATGTTGTAGATGCTGTGCTAGCCGCCCCGAAGCAGCCATGGGTCTGCACGGGTGAGCTGGTGACGTCCAAGCAAGGCTGTGCCAATTCAAGCTGAGTGGAAGGGCAAATAGGAATAGGCTGACAGTGACAACAGAGTTCATTTCTGGGAGATGGCCATAGCATAGATTCCACCCACTGAAAACTACCTTGGAGGCCACAAGAAACTTCTGATCGAAACTTCTGACCAAGAAGAGGTTACCGGAGGATTCCATCCTCTTCAATGAAGACTCAGCCTTTCGTGGAGTAGGCAATTAGATTAAGGAAGTAAGTTAGTGCATCAGCCAGGCTAATCAGACTGTCTAGAGTAGCCCAGGCTCAAGGCTGGGCCCACTGTGAAGAAGCCTAAAACCCAAAGACCTTGAGAATGACACTGGGGCCATGCTCAGAAGCACAATTATACCCAAACACAATGGTTCTGGTGCTCAGCTTAAGAGAGAAACAGACTGGCCAGCTGAGCTGGGGGTTACTTTAAAGCAAATCTAAGAACCATTAAAGCCAATATTGTCACAACAGAAGCAGGGCCATCTTCCATAATGTCTGCTAAGCTCAACCTGCTGTATCTGGAAACTGGGAGCTCTCTACACTCTGAAGAGTACTTTCCCATCCATCACCCTGCCCACAGATCGCCTCCCCCCAAGGCCTCCTCCTGACAAGGTGGCCTTTCAGCCATCCGTGAATGCCAGTGCTCTGGCCAGGTTAGGAGAGGGGTCTTAGAGAGGGGGATCCGCCGTATTTCATACTTTTCTAGGCAGTATTACAGAGCGCTAGGCTCATCTTATAGAATCTGAATTTATAGCTTATGCTGGGTCTAATAAATTTCCAAGCCAATTTGCATGCAAACTATCTCATTTCTTCTCCAAAACAGCTCCTTAAGACGAAAAGGGACTGTTCATTTCCTTTGATTCACCGTTCAACTGCTAATGTGATGTGACACAAACATCTTAAGATGGGTTAGACTGTTAACCACCAGAAGGAAAAAGGCTAAAAGTTGGTCTCCCAGACTTTCTTCAGTGACTTAAAAGAAAGATTAGCTAAAGATCAGGCCGTGAGAAACCCCCCTGGGGATTGGAAGTCTCTTGTTTCTTACAAACTATGTAGCCCCTCTAAATTGAATACACACGTACAAGCCCACGGAGAGCTGGTTGCTTCTGCTCTTCTGCCCTGTCAGGGGTGCCCTGGAATGGATCCATTGTCACTGGCTGATGGCTCTGGGGCTGACGGACACCTGTTATCCTCTCCCCACCCCAGTCCCTGGAGCCTTAGCCAAGAGCCTAGTGGAGGTTCATTTGTCTCGGCAAGATTAAGTGAAGCTCCATGGCATTTCTTCCAAACATGACTTGACTTGATTTGATTTTTCTTCTTAAATCCTCCTCTTCCTTCTCTGCTCCCCACAGGACATTGCACAGACCTCTGGATGAGGCCTGGAAAATCTTCATTGCTCCAGTGAGCTGTGTTATGACACTTTGAGTCTCGCCATGAAGTCAATATTTAGAAGTGCAATTTTAAAATGGCAGTAGTTCAAGTCTCCCTGTCAGGTAGATAAAGCAGCAGACTGAAAAATTGATAAGTAGGGAAGAGTTCCACATACCCCAACTCAAGGTCCAGGACACTTAAGATTGTTCATAGATCTGTAACATCTCACTCGATGGTCCCGTTGAGCTATGAAGGGAGAAAAGTGCTTGGGGGAAATGATCCCAGATCCTGATCACAAGATGTCTTTGGGCAAGGCCATCCAGCAACTGCATTATGAGCACCCGGTCATGTTCTGCACATAAGAACTGAGGAAGTGATGCACAACAGCTTTACTCCCCTACCCCTTCTAGGAAGATGTCAAAGGAATTTGATTGAGGGAGAAAAGGAAGCACTCTTAACGTTCATTTCGTACTATAAAGTAATCCAAAGCAGAGAAGGGAAGGAAGAACCAGGGAATGTGAGAGGATAATAATCTCCTGTATAGAGAGTTAGAGTTCCTTTGGAAATTGGTGCTGCTCACACTGTGTGGTGATGGTTGAACTATCACAAAATCAAAATAGAATCAAAGTTACAACCTTTTAGGAGCTGTGGCTAAAAGTGTTGGAGTTCTAAGTTCTCCATCTTTCAGCATGCATTTTGCAGAGGTAACTCCCTCCATCTGGCAGTCATGGGTGAGTGGGTACAATCTCTCACATGCCTTTGAGATGTGCTTGGGTGTTGCTCTGGGCTCTTTGTCTCACCTCTTCCTGTTCTGTACAGGTGTTCAGGACAGTCAGACATCTTCTGGGAAGAGAAAGACACCTTTCCACCTGTCTTCTGCTCCTATACTTTACAAAAGTGGGCTGGGTAGGGAGTTGGTTGGTGGGCATTCGCTCATATCACATCATGGTTGTTATAGTCAAGATGAGTCCATCTGTATAAGAGGCATGTTTGGCTGTTGGTCAAGAAGTACAGTCTATGTACAGTCCTTTCTTTTTCCTGTCAGTTGGTGCCTGACGACCTGCAGTCACGCTGGCCTTAGATTCACACACTCAGCGGGGGAATATTGGGAGCCCAGCATCAATCAAATGAGGATCTGAGTTAACATCATAGCTAAGGCATCACGTAGGCACACGTGAGCCAAACATCTGGGTAAAAGTGAGGCTATTTTTCAGACAGGTATTTGACATTGCAAAGACAAGGGATCTGGATGTTCACTAAATTTTCCTACAGTGTAACCGGCTTGGCAGGAGACATTGAGATTTATGCTGTTTTAGAACTGGAGGAGGCTTTAGTATGCAGTTTGTTGATTTCTGCTCTCCATGGATCTCCTTTTCAGAAAAAAAAAAATATATATATATACAGCCACACTCACGATTATGTGCTCCTAGCCAAAGAAGAATGCCAAAGTGGCCTTTGACCTCCGCCACATGCACAAACCAATGACTTCAAATTGAGTTGATTTTTTTTAATGCAATGGAAATGCGTTAGAAATATATTAAAGTATCAAATGAAATCTAAGCCCTTGTAATTATTGTTGTCTGGCAAGGGTTGGCCGGGGTCAAAATTCTGTAAGACCCAGGGTTGAATTCATATTGCATCACTTCCTCTGCCAGTAATTTTGGCAAAATCTGCATTCCTGACGCTGTCTGTGTCAGCAAAAGGAAAAGAAAGATTACAAATTTGCATCTCAAATGTGAGATTGTTTCAAACTCAGTGGTCTTCCAAGGCACGGGCCAGACCCTCTAGCCAGCCGCCGAGAGGTGGAGGGGTGCTCCTCCCTGGCCTGTTGCCTGGGGAAGCAAGGCCAGCAGTGTTTGAAAGCTTTCTGAGCTGTCAGAACACTCTCACTTTGCAAGATGGTATCTTGGCTGAAATAGCTCAGGGTTATTCAGCGGCATCCATTATGCTGAGACAAAGTCATCCAGAAAAATCCAGGGGTGCACTTACACCCTTCACAAATCATGGCAAATCCACGCCTTCACCAAACATCTATAGAGGGTGTGACGCAATGTCTTGGAATGGGCTCTCAGCAGACACTTGTGAGCAGAAACAGACACCCCTGACCCTGCACCCACTTCCTGAGAACTTACCACCCAGCGAAGGAGAGAGATAATAATCTCATACTCACCCAAATCAGTGTAAACATAAAGTTATGCAAACATAACAGAAAAAGGTGGACTGTGTGATGATGTCATCAAATAAAGACTCTGGTATCCTCTGAGAAGACTGACAAAAGATGCTCTGGGAAGGGACAGGAGCTCACATCTGAAAAGATAAATAAATGGCTGGGGGTGGAATGTTCCAGAGACACAGAAGGATGGGTGTGGTGTTCATGAGGAAAGCTGAGGCAGGCCAGACTCTGAGAGGATGAGAAGAGGATGTGGGAAGGTTTAAGGGGGAAAGTGACTGTCTCAAACTCACATTTCAAGAAGGCTACTCTAGCTACAGTATGGAGAGG